GCTAGTTGGCTGTCCCGGGGCTGAGCTGGCTTTTGCCGGGCCTGGTGAGAGCGAGGCTGGTCGTTTGTCTCGTGTTTTGTGACTGCCTGGCTCCTCACTGGGTGTTTCTCTCCACAGTGTCCTTGTCTTGGGGCAGGGTGGTTAACGGGGCATGGCATTTTGCTTTAAACCTGCTGCATGGCCTGCACAGCTGGTTCTGCCTTTCTGCAGGAAGAGCTTATAACTGAGCAATGGTTTAACCTGTGTCTGGGGTTTTTGTAGTTGGTCTGTTTAAATGCAGTTTATCTGCTGCTAGTCAAAAAATATCAGTTATCTTATTGTGGCCTGCACAGACACACTGTGGATGTGATGAAGTGCTGTATAACTCTGGGTAGTCTGTTTATATTTGGCTGTGGTTCAAAGAGCAGTTGGCACCTGTCTAAAACAAAATTAACTTAATATGTAGCTAGGCCAAAGAAGATTGCATTTCCAGTTCTCTGTCTAGGAGTTTCATGAAAAATTGGCTTCGCTAGAACTTCAGGCAATAACTGTGATGTGTTGTTGTTGTTTGCTTTGCTTTCCACTGCATAAAGTGGTTGATGACTTGCAATAGATGGTGAACCAAAGAAGTGCATCTGTTTGTATGTGAGTACCCTGCAGATTCTCCTCCCTGCCCTTCAGGGTCATCAGAAGGAGAGAGCTGCTTTTGACTGTGTATGGTGCCCTGTACGGTAATCTGCTTTTGCATGCATAGCTCTCCTTTTGGAGGAGGGCACCAGCACCTCTGTTTCCTCTCCCTTTTGTCCGTGTGAAGTGCTTCCCCTTCCCTTGGTGACCGCTCAATGCGACCCTGCTAAAAAAAGATTTTTTTTTTTTTTTACTTTGATAATCTCCCTTGTCCTTCCTTAACGCTTCCTGACCAGGGGTGTGGCAACAAGAATCAGTTCTATTGCTTGGACTCCAGCAATGATCCAGAGTATCCACAGGTCCTGTTCTCTTAAGATTGTTCTGCATGAGACCAGGGGCGGTGGTTCTGGAGGCTGCCCCTTTTCTGGCTAGGTGCTGAGGGAGGAACCAGCCCCTCCCTTTTGCCACCCATATTCATTTCCAAATAGGCATTTTGGAGGGAAAGAGGGTGTTGACTACTTGCTGTGGTGAGCCATAGCGTGTTTTCCCAGCATACTATCTGTCTGCAAGAGCTGGTGCAAAAACCTCTTTTTAGTTCTTAGTGACAGCTAAGTTAAGGTTCTAATAGCTGGTAAATTGTATCCTGAGATTTGTGGCTGGAGTCCATTTGGGCCTGGAAGTCAGAGACACAATTACCTAAGGATTTCTGTTTTGTTTATCAGTGTTGGTAAACTATAACTCTGGTGATTCCTTCTACTGACCAGAGTCAGTAACCTATAGTTGTCTGTGTTGTGTTTTGGATATGTCTTGTTTGTTTGCTTGTTATCAGATTTCTGAGCGGTGCTCTCCGCCCCCACCTTGGTTTCAGCAGTATCCTAAATAGGTCTTGCAGTTTACAGTCGACATCCTAGCAGTCACCTTGCCACGGCTTGGAGCTCTGCGCTGCAGCTTGTGATCGCCCACAGGACGCCATGCAGAGCTGACTTGGGGAAACTGGAGCAGGCCCCTGCCCTAATGCCCTCCACCCCTAAGAGTCTCCACCTGTTACCAGAACGTAGGGGCTGACAGCAGTTATGCCATTGGGAAAGAGCTGTGATGGTTTAGGAATACTCCAACTCTTATGCTCTACATGGAAATAGAGATCAAATCCAAGCCTAGGTCCATCCTTCCTGTTCCAGTTGCTAATCCCAAAGGTTACCCTGAGGTGGGTAATCAGTGTAATCAGTTGTTGTGATATTTGTGCTCTGGGCACAGAGCACAAATGTAGTACATGTTTCCCACTATCTGGATGAGTGGCTGTTCAAGGACAGCACAGTGGAAATGAAGCAAGGATTAATGCAGAATCATCAGGCACTGTTTGCCTTGATTTGACTGATACTACAAGGAGACTGGCTGGTTGTGCTAATGGATGTTTCAGAGTAGCTGAAATTGTGGGAGCTGCTTTTCCAGTTCAAGACCAGGAGTTGTTGAGCTTGGCACCGTACTCTCTTCTATAGAAGCCTGACTGATACCTCCAAACTTGCTGAGAACAAAATCTGTTTATCTCCTATGAAAGAGCAATTTTTACTTTTTTGTTGTGTGCTTTGATGGGTTAAAAAATATTCTTCACTTCTTTTGCATGCTGGGCCTTGAGTTTCAAGCCGATGTTCATTAAATTAAGGAAGTATTTGTATTTGTTAAATTTACTGTAGTGTTTGTTTTAGTTGCTTGAACGTCTTTGTTCTTGATCCAAAATCCATGCCTAGTTTATTTTTGCTTTTTGAGAAATTCTGAAAGATCTCGGTTTAATTTTGTGCTGACCTGGAAACCACTGTCAAAACTTAAGTTGAAGTAAAAAACCCCAAATTCTTGTTTTTCAGTTAGCTGTTACTTGTAATCTGCATGAAACCAGCACTTACACAGTGTGCTGCCTCATATGATACTATTATGCTGAGACTGAATAAATATCCCTTTCTCTTATGCTAACTATACGTTAGACTAGATCTTGAAAGTCATATGAGATGGTGACTGGGCAAAAGTATTTCTGGTTTCTTTTGTAAAGAGAACAGGATATAAAAGGATTTAAAAAAATATTAACATGTTAGGCTGTTTTAAGATATAATTCTATTTATTTTTTTGTTTGGCAGTACTTACAGTGGCAAGGTGTTTCGCGTGACCTTCTTGACTTTGGCTGTGTCCCTAATTATTCCCCTGCTTGGAGCAATTGTTCTGCTGGATTGTCCTATAGACCCTCAGCCTATAAGGTAAAGCGTTAATTTATTTTGAAGTAAATGTTATTGAAGTGTAACTTCTTGAATGTTTTCTGCTTTTTCCAGCAAACAAGACTTAAGTCAACTGTGTACAGTGATTCTAATTGTATTGAGGAAATCAGGGAGTGATTGTAATATTAGCCATCACTGTGGTTTGCTTTGCATACACAGTGTCTGAGTTTCTTGTGCAGTTGTTTGTGTTGATCAATGGAGGGGCTGAATTACTTTCTTTGATCGTTAATTTAGAAAATGATTTTCTGATGTCCAAGCTGTCAGTGGAGTTTGCGGTTTACTTGCATATGCTCTTGCTTTCTGTGAGACAAGAACTGCCTTTGCACTAGGGACCCAGCTGTACCCTTGCTGTTATATTTCTGTCCAAGAGAGACTTCATTTGAAGCTTGAAATTGAAAAAAATAACCTGACTAGGTTGATTTGACTAGCAGAACCTTATGGAGATGTTATATTTAAATGCAGATCTCTTCAAGCAAATGCAACCAGGTAATTTCTGCCCTGTCTTAGTTCTTAAACATCCGAATCAAGGTCTGTATCATTGTTATGGAAACAGTTTAACCCCAGGTTTCCGAGCAACAGAGTCTCACATATGCCTAGCAGTGAAATTAATTATTTAAATAACTTATTTACTACAACAAAGTAACAGCTTGAGTTGGTGCCTCTGGGGAGGGACCCGGAACAAAGAAATTCTGGGGTAATGATACCCTTTACAGTTTTATTTCCCTGCCTGCCAGTGAAGGTAGCAATCCAATCTTTTTTACTGAGTCAGTGGTCTCTCCCCTTCTGATTGGGGTCTCTCTCCTTCTGACAGGTCCTGGTCTACATCCCAGGCTGATTACCATGTCCTTGTTTCCCACAGTCCCTTATCTTCTCAAAGGTCAACCGCAACCCAGGTGCATCCCATCTTCTCTCCTGCATTCTACTTTGTATCCTCATTAGCTAGTTTTGTATCTTTCTTAGCTGATTTTAATTGGTTTTGCAGTTACATCATCGACAATGTCACATCGTCAGCAATGTTTCTCGAGTTCACTGACAGTTTGGCCTTGAGGCCTGCGGGCTTCATCTACTTTAGGCACTTATGCTAAGTAAGAATCAGACTTATGCTAAGCTGAAGCTAAGTCAGCTACAATTTCCTTCTCTAACAGTGCTAAATCAGTTATGATTTCCTTCTCTAACAATCATATGTGGAATATAACAGTGAATCAGCTACTTGACGAGAAGTGACCTGCGTTGGGAGAAGCTGTGTGTGAAGCATTCTCTGCTAGCCTAGGGTGTAGTCAGGCTGCCTAAGGCATCAGGCATTTTGGGGAAAGTGAAAATGCTCAGTCTCCTAATGTTTATGACCAGTTCAAAAATTCTTTAATGAAAAGGAAGAGCACAGTAAATATCTCTAGAATTGAAAGAAACTCTTAATGTGGTAGAGTGGTAGTTAGAAGTCTTGCCAGCAGGCTATTAGACATAAGCTGCCTGGCTGCAAGTCTTAATGAAATGCTTTCTACTGTGATTTTGTTTAAAAAGACATTCCCTGGAATATATTGCAGCCTGAATAGAAATTCTGAAAGCAAACAAGATATTTTCAAAAAGCTTTTCCTAATATATGATCCAGAGTAACGGTATCCTGCATGCCTACGTTTCTTAGTTTAAGTCCCTTTTACAAGGTCAGGAGAATTATTCTTCCTGTCCAAATCACTGCCTTTTCTTGCTGTATGTTCGTAAGCAGTTTGTTAGCTTCACTGCCAGAAATGCTTCCAATCTGTATGATAGATAGGATAAATCTACATGATGTTTAGAAAGTGTTTTGAAACAATTCAAGGAGATAGATGCTGTTTAAGAACATACAGAGATTTCATTCACCAATTGCTAATCCTATACCCCTACTAGCTATATCTACACCTATTAGCTATTGCTGATCCTCTGCACCTCCGGAAATATTGATGTCCTACTAAAATAAAGGAAATGAAGAATAAGACTGTGAAACTCCACATGAAATTCCTGAAGCTCTGATTTATTCCAGACTTCTTCTGTAGAAGCCCGTCTTTACAGAATCCCAGAACGGTTGAGGTTGGAAGGGGCCTCTGGAGATCGTCTAGTCCAACCAGCCTGCTCAGACAGGGTCACCTAGAGAACGTTGCCCAGGATTGTGTCCAGAGGGGTTTTGAATATCTCCAAGGACGGAGACTCCACAGCCTCTCTAGGCAACCTGTTCCAGTGCTCAGTCACCCTCAAAGGAAAGAAGTTTGTCCTCATGTTCAGATGGAACCTCCTGTGTTTCAGTTTGTGCCTGTTGCCTCTCATCCTATTGCTGAGCACTAGTGAGAATAGTCTGGCCCCATCCTCTTGACACCCTCCCTTCACATACCTGTACACGTTGATAAGATCCTCTCCTTTCAGTCTTCTCTTCTCGAGGCTAAACAAGTGCAGCTCTCTCAGCCTTTTTTCATAGGAGAAATGCTCCAGTCCCTTAATCATCTTCGTAGCCCTTCACTGGACTCGCTCCAGTAGCTCTATCTCTCTCTTGTCCTGGGGAGCCCGGAACTGGACAGAGTACTCCAGTACTCACAGTACTTCCAAATGTAGAAGCTCTGTAGGCATCATCTTCCCTGCTTTTTAAGTCTGTAGTCGGTTAGAAATCCAGTTGACTAGAACCTGGCTATTTATGTGAATAAGGGCTTGCGAGACTGAGCGTTATTTTGTCATTTTTAGATTTCATTTCAAGTCTCTTTATGGTTATGTACAACTTATTTCTTTGAGTTGGTTTTTCTCTATGGGAATGCATTTAAGCCACAAGAATACATATTTTGAGATGGTATGAAAGCGTGTGTGTCCCAGTGCTCAAACACTATTGTAACACTTTTTTCACTAATTGTACGTTATCTAGTACTTAAAAATAACATTTTCCTTGATGAAAGTGTATATGGTGTCAGATTTTGCCGTATTGTAAAATTACGGACTTTTAAATTTCAAAACTATTTGTTTAGAAACTTGTAAATATATATCTAGGAAAAACATTCCAATACAAACAGCTCATTCCACTGAGTTAAAAGCAGTTATTTTTGTGTAATGACAATGCTGAAATCCTCTGCCTTTGTGTAAGGGCAAAGAACTGAGAATGTGTTGTTGGACTTAAAGGTATAGGCTTCCAGACATGTCGCAGGAATATGTGATTGCAACTTTTCTTTTCTGAGCAGCAGACCCAGGAATTTATGATCCTTGATGAAGAAAGTCAAATTTTCGGTTTGTCACCTGTGGTTTCTCTTTTAAGTATGCTGTGTGGAAAGCATAGATCAGGCTTGCAGGAGTTGGCAAACTAGGAAAAAGTGATTGTCCAACTTGTTTCTCAATAGTGTTGGCGAATTTGTGAAAAGTCATGAGATCTGTGTTCTGCTCTGCAGTTTGAAAGAACCTCCCATTCTGACGGGTGTGCTAGAGCCCAATATCGAGTTACGAAAAGCCGAGCGATTATGGGAAGGTCAGCTTGTTGGACCAGAATCCATTGTCAATATTGATGGTAAGTACTGACAAAATAAGCTTTTAGAAAGGGTCTTTAAATGTTGCTATGTTGATAAGGGTTTGATCAGCAGTATATTCCTTGGATAACAAACTCTGGAAGCTTTTTTTCAATATGTACATAGAAAAATAATTGGATTGTGCATACTTGCTGCTATATACTGTTTTTCCTCCCCTTTCCCAAGTGTAAATTTTTCGTGAAGATTCTTCAAGATTAAAAATCTATATCTTTCAGGGAGAAGGCGGGGAGGGAGGGCACTAATAGTGGAGTCAGAGTTTTGCATGTGGAAGAATATATCCCTTTTTTTCATTTGGCTAGCTCTTAACTGGGAATTAATGATTACCTGCTCTTCTAATGCCTCCTGCCACTGAAGGAGCTGAGTTTTTATGGTGTTCACTTTTATTTATGTGATAGCAAAAATTCTCGTTTGTGCATTACGAATGGCATTGTATACAGCTCTCTTAGGGCACACATGTTTTCTCACCAAATCACAAACCCATGCGTCCTTGGAGCCATATCCTGATGAGGTGGATAGACTTGTAATGGCATGACACCCACTCAGTAGGAAACCAGCTTTGTGCAGGTGTGGTTCCCTGTGCCCCTGAAGGGAAATGGTTAGGAACTACCCTTGATGCGAGTCCTGTATTGTTTTAAAGGGGAAAGGAAAGA